GTAAGGCTGTTCTTAGCTCGAGGCCATCGTTGGTCAACCTCTGCTTTCAATTCGCACCTGTGTCTTTTCTCCTCCATGAAGAAGCCAGATCTCCAAGGACAGTGAGAAGGCTCTAGAGTCCTGCCTCCCTGCGGAGCCAGGTTATTTCAGACCACCCTTCATCCCTCGTCAGGACGAACGGAGACGCGCCCACTGGGGCCAGAGGAAAATCCCAGGAGTCTGTTCATGCCGCGCGGTGACCGGACCGGTCGCCTAGGGGGAATCACACCCTCTGTCCTCAGTTCATAATCTCTCAAACAGAGAGGATGGAAGGCTTTGGGGACTAAACCACTTCTTCAATTTAAAAGCCTATGAGATAAAGTTTTGCACATTTTAACTAATGTTAAGTCAGTGTTACTCAGGGACCCTCCGATGCAAACCCCACTTCTGAATTAAGCAATGTTTTCAAAAGAAATCAAAACAAAACAACACTGGCAGGGAAATAAGGGCATGAATTCTGTGTGGCAGTAGCCCGGTACAACAGCTCACACCCGGGACTTGCGGGGAAAAAACCAGGGGAGAATATCTGAGGAGAAGAGAGGAGAAAAAAATATTCTGTACGCTTGACACTGTATTCTTTAGGTAAAGGCTCCCTGAGATCTCAACCAGCGAGAACAGTTCATCAAAGATAAACTCATTCTAAAACTTATGAATAATCTATGACATGGTAAAATTTTATTAAAATTATTCATCAAAAACAGGAAATGCATAAAATGTCTTCTAGGAAGAGAGGTTTTGCTATACAAACTGGAAGCATAAATAGTATCACAGGGTCAACATTAAACCTGCATAAAAAAATACTTTTTAAAAAGCACTCGTGTACGATGGCTGTGGTAGCTGCTATCAATTATGAAGGAATTTGATCTTTATTAGCACAGACCTAAAGGGCTCTCTACCTAACGGTTGCTTATTAAAAGTAATTCCATTTTTTTCCTTAAAAGCAAAAATAGCAACCTATTGCGGTCACTAATTTAAATGGATGAGTTGAGTGCCCAGAGCAGCATTTCCCAGTCCGTCCCACGCGCCTGCATTTTAGTGAAGGAAAGGGCTCCGGTCAGTGTGGAAGCTCCCAGGGCGCGCCAGCGCAGGAGAACCTCCGAGGACTCAGAAGGTCCTAAAGGCTTGTTTGCCGCCCCTCCACCCCCCAAGGAGAGCCTGGGCGCGCCTTCCTTCCTTCCTGCTCCACTGCACGCTGCTATGGACATCGCGAGGGGGAGCCCCACTTATGGGGCCAGGGATCCCCCGACTGTACCGTCCACCCCTTTTCCTTTCTCATGGGAATCAGGTGGGATTAGCACACTCTACTGCCTGTGGAAAGGTACCCAAGGATCTGTGTGCCTGGAAGATGGACCCATATCTGCCACAGAGGGGAGAGGAGTCCCTACTAAAAGTCCCCTACGTTCAGAAATTGTGTTGCTTGCTTCTGATTCCTCAGTAAAAGCATAAGGAGAAAGCTCTCCCCAGGGCTCTAATGAGTAAAAGAGCTGTGGCCTAGCATCAAGCATGGGACCCCGAAACTCCTCCCCGCCAGCCTCGGAAAGGCAGCGTGGCAGGCCCTCAGGGACGAGATGAGAGGTAGCACTTGGGCCACCAGCCCCAGTCAATGGGAGCAAAATGCCGGCTCAAAGGCCTGGAGCCGCTCCCGCCCAGAAGGACGGGGCTGGAGCAGCGCGGGTCAGTCTGGACGCTCCCCAGTGCTGCCTTTGATTGGAAATACGAGGCTCAGGAAACCCCTTTCCCTACGCCCCGCGTCCGTCCGGGAGCCTTCACATGCTTCTCACTGACACCAAAAGGAACCAAAACACAGAACGGCCCGGGGAGCAGAAGGGGCCAGCCCTCCGGGCAGCAATGCCAACGTGCTCCAAGAAATGCCAATGGCAGGCCTGCCTCCCGGGGGCAAGGCAAGAACTGCAGCCCCATCGGGCAACAGGCAACACACCCGTATCTGATGTGACCGAAGCTCCGGCATAAGACTGTTTCTCCAAATCAACTTTGGGATCAGTGGGGGCGTCACAGCCGGGCCACCTCCTCGCCCAAGGTACACTTACTTGATAAGGGTAATCAAATCAAAACCACTTGAAAACCTTAAGAAAATGCTAAACCCAAAATAACTTTATAAATTCTGAAATTACATGGCTTAGTGAAGCACTCAGAATTTCCAGAAAGATGCTGTGCCTTTCAAGCCTCTGGTATACATACATTTCTTTTCATTTTAACCACATCAAGAAATCCCCTAAGAGATTCCATTTTCTCAGCAAGGAAAGTTACAAAGGAGAGTGCGAAATAGACTCATTTTCACAAGCAAAAATGAAACACTTCTATGTTTTATTCATGCAAAGAGAAAACCTCTTTCCTTTGCAGCATTACAAATTGAATTTGCTCTTGTAAATTGCTGTTAAAGAAAAAAAAAAAACCCAAAAGCAAAAAAAAAAAAAAAAAAAAAAAGTTAAAAAGAAAAGGCAGGAATACAAAGTCCTCTTCTTCTACAGAATGAAAACTCAGGGACCAACAGGGAGAAGGTTTCACTGGCAAACACACTTTTTTTACTTCCTGCAATTCAGCTCAGGCCCCAACCTCGCCGTGAGCCGGCTGAGCTTCTGAGAGCTGAGAGCGAGTCCTGAGTGAATTTCCAAATTACACTTCTCTGCTACAATTGAGCGAGAATAAGAAGTGGTCTAAAGCACATGGGTAAGCCCAGCTCGCCTCTTAAAAACACAAGCAAAGCAATGGAACCTAATTTACACTGACACCACTGCAGGGCAGCGGGTGGCAGGCTCTCCCTGCTCTTCAGGACGGCTGAACTCGCAGTGCCAGGAACAGCCTCTTGCCCTCTGCGTCCAATGACGAGCTGCTCTTGAAACCTCCCCGAGGTCCGGCCCCACCCTGTGTTTGAAAGAAGCCATATAATTAGCTGCATCCGCTCGCTTGCGTCTACTGCTTTAACAAATCAAGAGCTAACATTCATTAAGCATTTGCCATGTCCCCATCCCTGTGCTGATTACTGTACACACACAGAGGCACATATACACATGCTTTGTGGTCCTTATTATGATCCGCATTTCACAGATGACAGAAACTGAGCTCAGAGCTTGAATAATTTAGCCAACAAGAGTTTGAACCATTTCTCTCTTCCCGAGCATGCGGCATGTGGCCTCACTTTAAAGAGCTGGGCTGAAAAACCTCATCATGAAATCCGCTCACAACCATGAGAAAACACAACCCTACTTAGTTGTACATGTACGCTGTATAATGGTTTTCACCTGGACTCCTGCCTTAAAAAAACAAACTTGGAGGACAGGAACCAGGGAAGGATCAAGCATCTTATACTCTTCCCTCAAGGCTAAACATTTTTAATGATGAGCAAACACTATCAGGTATTTTCCTTGCAAAAATTAATCAATTCATGCCAACACATCAGCTTCAGTGCCACAGCTCTGCCAACCAAGTGAATGACAGGCGTGTACGTTCAATCTATCCACTCGTTCCCCACAGAGCACCTGGCCCGGCTGTCAGCATTCATCACGCTGCTACAGAAGCTCGAAGACACAACTGTGCTCCCAGGAAGGATGACCCCACCAGCGGGCAAAGGACTCCTCGCCTTTCTTTCACAGACCATTTCTCGCGTCTGGTCCTAGCTATGCTTGTTCTTTGACTGATAAACACTTCACCATTTTCCTTTCTGGCTTAGAACTTGTAACTGAATCAAAACGCTATTGAAGCCACTAATGCCCAGCCTTGTAGACCAAGGCTGGAGCATAATCCAAGGCAGAGCCCTCTAGAAAGGACCACATGATTCAATAAACCAGCGCGCCCAAGGATGGAACCAAGAGAGCCGCCTCTCTGGTGTCTGGGATTTTTGTAATGTTCTTACTCATTTTCAACAAGGCAGTATCAATCATCCTATAGCTCATCCCTAAATTCTAGAACTTCAGGTACATTGAGAGTTGCCAAAGATTAACTATACAGTTGACCCCTGAACAATGTGGGGGTTGGGGGCACCAACCACCTGAGCGGTTGAAAATCCACATATAATTTAAGTCGGCACTCCCTCCAATTCTCACCTGCAGATAGAAAATATAGCTGACCCTTGAACAACATGGTCTGAACTGCTTGGGTTCACGTGGACCTTGGGGTCAACTGTAATTCAAGAGTTTGGTCCATTTAATGTAGCCCAGTTACTTAACAACGGCATCCACGTTGTCAGAGATAACTGCCGCTTTTTAGTTAGAAATGTATTTTGAAAACCAGAACTCTCTTGTTTCCAGTCATCCTGGAGAACAGAAAATTCACAATGAAACTAAGTAAGAAGCACTCCGTAAATAACAGATTTCTCAGCAGATTTCAGAAACACACACACACTCTCTCCCCTCTCTCCTTTCTCTCTCTCTCTGAATGGAACTTTGACATGACCAGATGTTCCAAGTGTTAAAAAAGTTCAGCCAACCCGAAGCCCCAGAAGCTCCTGGTGACCGTGACTTTGCGACCTAGCCCTTGTGATTCAAGGCTAGCTAACTGCTCCCTTCACCAAGCCCTCTACAAAGCAAGTACCAGCAGCGGGGCATGTAAAATGGCCAAGACTCAACCGACTGAAATAGGAGATTAAAACAGACTGCAGAGAGGGGGGAAGAAAAAAAGTGAGGGTTTAAGGAGCCTCGGTGAGCGGGAGCTGAGGTGAATGAGGATGAACAGGAGGAGAAACATGCAGAAATCAAAGGCAGAAACCAAAAGGCAAAAACAAAAGAAACCAAAGGTCTGAGGTACAGACACCAGGAAGGGAAGTAGCGCGGAGGGTTTATGAGGTGGGGAAATAGACATATCCTGCAATTTTTTTTACATTTCTGAAGAAAGCCTATTGTCACTGCATATTCAGTAAAGTAACAGTGAGAATGCGCTTCAGTGTTAAGCTAAAACCGGGGCACCTGGTGAGGTGACAAGTGGCCGCACCACCCCGGGGTACTCACCGGCCATTGTCACGGCCGACGCCCCACACGCGGATGCTCACGATGGGCTGGGAGTGGAGCACGGAGCGGTCCATGGGGTCCACCAGGCTGAGCATGTCATTCTCCAGGATCAGGTACATGTCCTTGCCCTGAGTTCGATAAGAAAACATGTTACCTTCCTGGAGAAGTGCACGTCCTTGTAACACCTGTGGCTACCTCGGGACGCCCTGTCAACGATCAAAAGAAGCCACCCCTTGGGTCTATGATTTGTTTTCCTCAGTGAGAAAGGCCTCTCCTGAGTAAAATATTTATAACTCTTTCATATTTCCTTCACATCCCAAAGTTTTCTCGCCCTCTCCAAGTCCTCTGAAATGTGTCCCTAGCCTGCTTTCTAGCTGGCTCTTATTTTCAACCGTTCACACTTCTGAATCTTTAAAAAAACAGTTAATGGTGGGTTCCCGGGCCTTTTACTAACCCCAGGCCGCATCCTCTGATAACCACGCCCTCTCCGTGCCTTCCCCTCTGGCCGGACCCCCGCAGCGGCCTTCTCAGACCTGCAGTGATGTCCGTCTCTCCTCAGCTTTTACACCACTTCATATCTGTGCGATTTGCCTGGCAAATAGCAGGAACAGCTCTGTGACATTTCTCGGTACAACCACACCTAACATTTATATGCCTTGATCACACCTCAGATAGTACATCGTATGCTTAAGGTACCCTGGCTCATGAGCTTCCTAACTTGCCCTGGTAACTTGGTTTGTTATTACTCAGCTTGCTATAGGGCAGGAACTCTGTCTGTGGCCACTTGCAGGTCACAGCGGTGTCCAGCCCTTGGGTGAAGGACCCATTCTTAGTTAGCTAGCGTGCGGATTAACCACGATGGAGGTGCGGGTCTCGGAGAGGTTCGGCTGCCCGACACCTCACGGGTGCTGGGTAACTCGGTCAGTAGCTGAGCAACGGTTGGCCGAGCCAAGAGGAGCCACGCTGCCCTCCCCCACGCTGTCCTCGGCGACGCGCTGGGCTCCTTTCCTCCGAGCTCAGCTGAGGGCTGCCACACGGTGCTCGGGAGCTGCATGACCGGTCAGAGCCGGGAGCCGAGAGCAGAGCAGGGCCCAGGCCCCGGGGGCCAACCAGCTGATGTGCTTCCAGATAACCGAGAGCTGCTAGGGATTTTTGGTGCCTTCTTTTTCTCTCCATCCCTCCCCACCAGGAATGAAGCACTGACTGCAGCCTCAAGGAGACCTTCAGCCAGGCCCACGAGTCAAAGGCCCCCAGGACAACTCCCACCGGGCGGCAGCCCCTTCTGTGCGGCTGCTTCATGGCGAACACCTGGCAGGTACTGCCAGGCTCTGAAGGGCTTGTTCTGGCTGACTGTCTCACCTGGTGTGTTAAACACGCTTTTTAGGATGTGACCTGCGGTGAGGCCAAGTGCCCCTTCACTGACCTCGGTGATGCACTTTCTTTGGGCTGGTTCACCTTAAAAACCACAACTGGTTCTGCCAAAGGCAACAGATGCCCTCTCCCCCAGGGAGGGACCGAGTCACTCACAGAGCAACGCTATTCCAGGATGTCCCCGATACGCCTGTTTGACAGGTCTCCGGGCACAATGGAAAGGGGCTTTTCCTGTTTCATGTGATTTTTATAGGTACTTTATATTTATATGTCTTGTCCTTTCTGAAATTATCTCCACTAATATTTCTAAATAGAATTACTTTGTTCTACTTGAGAAAGAATATAGAGGTATCAATTTCAAAACTCATGTATAACGTTGATGTTCAGATTGTAAATAAAGGAGAACGTGGTGTAAAGGATAAGTTTTTTAAATTTTTAGGGCAGCAGCATCAATATTCGTGTATGTGTGTGTGTGCCGGGGGTCACATTCCCCAGTGAGGATGTGCTTTGAGGGGTCCCTGGGCCTGCTTCCCAGAAACCTGTCCTCATACCCCGGCACACCCAATTTTGCAGGCAAACCTAAGGGGTTTTCAGGGTCCTGAAGTCCACGATGGATTCCCAGGGGCTCAGAGATCTCAGGTTAGACCCTGATGCTGAGACACTGAGAAGAGTTCTCTCCAAGGGCCCCCGTCCGCACTGGGACCTGGCTGTGCCAAGGGGCAGATCACGGCGTGCGTGCTGCCTATGCCGCCTGCCTCAGGGGGAAAAAGCGCCCAGGAGGTGCCTGCAGTGCCCCTCAGTGCCCCGTCCCACAGGGCCCGCGGCTTCGAGAGGCCCGGTGGAACAGAACCGAGCCTGCTATCCATCACTTCTGCGGCTTCCTTACCTCTCCCCAAATGCCGACTGTATCCCGGATGTCATTTTTGCAGTAGGAAAGCTGCCTGATGCAGTTGTTGACGGCAACACTACTTTTCCCGGGGGCGAGGTCCTCCTCTGCCATTTCAACCCATCCCAGGGAGCGCACAGCAAAGCACTGGAAGACAGAGAGCAGGACATTCCTCCTGGGTCACAGGCCAATCTACGTTGCTTCACCCTGAAATCCCCTCCAAGGCATGCCTGGGGAGCCTTTATGTGCCACATAATGGTTGATCATCTAATCCTTTGTCATTGGAAAATTAAGTTGTGACTTTTTGCTATTAGAAAATACAGTGATAAATATCTTCTTGCCTAACTTTCTGTGTGTGTGCTCAGATTTTTTTATTTTTAAAGACCGGATGACCAGAAGTGGAATTACTGGGCTAATGGACATAAAAAAATCTCTAAGTTCTTTTTCTATTAAAAGGCAGTTGTTTTTTTTTTAAAAATAGACGTACAACCTCCATAAGCTGTTAGTCATTAACACCTAGGAAAAGACAATAGGAGAGAAAGTGAATTAAATTCATGTTGGGCACTTTAATAACAATGAGGCGAAATGCATTCTCTAATACCCAGAGATGAAGGAAATTGGGGGAAATGTGCTTTCGTGACACTAGGCCGCAGGTCCTACAGCATGTTATCAGCGCCAAATCCTGAGAAGCCTGAAGAATGGACAGACTTGTGAGACACCTTAAAGCACAAATTCCATCTATTCTTTTATTGTTTAGAGAGACTTTGAGATGACGTTCCTTGTCTCTTTGAAGTTCAATTCTTAAATTAAAAAAAAAAATAAAGCATTATGTGCCTAGTGTAACAAGTAAAAAATCCAAAGACGCATAAAGAAAGGGACCCCTGAGACATGGGAGGGCTAAAGCACCCGCCTTGCTGGTCATCGCCAGGGATGCTCGCTGGCTGGTCCCTCACCCAACCCTGAAGCCTGGGGCCCTCCTCTCCCTCTGAGGGCTGGGGTCCCTCCCAAGCTGCAAATCACTTGAAGAGATCACCCTTCTGGGACAGGAGGCATCTTGTAAAGTTTCCCAAAGTGAACACATCATAATAAAATGAAGAAATGCAGCAAACTGCCCCCAAGTGACCACATTCAGTCTAGTTCAACTTTCCCCGTCTCAGCCTCCAGACCCAGACTCCTTCCCGAGTTGTTAATCACAGTTTCTCAGAGGAAACACTGTCCCCCCGCCCCAATCCCAGACACTCTCATCAAGCACAGTGCACGGGGACCCGCACGTCCTCCGGGGAGAAGTGCTGAGGGGCCTGCCCAGCCCCCCGGAGCAGAGCCACTGCCATAGGCTGATGGTGCACACGGGCCGTTTACACTTGCAGTCGTCCCTGAGATGACGGCAAAAGCTCCTCAGGACCCTGCCCCTGGGGAGAGGTCCTGGGAGATGCCCTCACATGCCGTCTGTGGGCGAGTGTTCACTACACAGCCGCTGGGAGGAGATGCGGTGCCCACAGGCACAGGGCTGGCTTGGGGCCGAGGGGGGCCCACCTGGTCAGCAGCGAGCTGGCTCTGAGCTGGCTGGCCTGCCCTGCGGCTGCTCTGCCCCCTTAGCCCCAGACCAAACCATGTCTCTCCAGGTGGACAGGCCTGATTTGTCATCACAGGAGCCTGAAACAGCACATCTTCCTCGTTGTGGTAAGACCACCGACCTCACGGGTCTGAGCTCGGAAGTGCTCCTCCCACCTCCTCCAGGGAGCGCTGGGCTGGTCTCCAACCTTCCTCCTTTGCTGGTTCCTGGCACAGTTGCTGGTGAGTAAAATCATAACGCAGCCACACCTGCCCCAGCCTGCCATTTCGATCTTGTTACCTACCGGCTCCATGTCCCCCTCCCGCCTCAAAAAGAAATAGACACTCTCTTGATTTGGAGAACATTTATGTTACCCCCAACCTACTTCCATAGCGGAAAATTAAAACAGCATAGTTGTATCACCCAATCTGGCCAAAAGGCTTTCTTTAAATGTTGACGATATTAACTCACTGCATCCTCACCTCAGCCATGTGAGGCCGCTGCTGAGTTAACTGTACCCATTTTATAGATGAGGACAGTGAGTGAAGCACAAAGCCATTAAGAGGTGGGCCTAGGATTCAAACCCAGGCAGTCTTGACTTTGGGGCTCCCAGTGCAAGCCACCCTGCCCTGTGCCTGAGGTTTTCCTGCAGGAAGAGGGTCAGATGGGGCTAGGCCCATAGAAGGGAGTGCCCGGGTTCAAATCTTAGCTCTTAGCCTTGCTGGGCTGTGGTCGTGGGCAGGCAGTTTACAAAGTCCCAACCTTTTTTATTTGTAAAAATAGGAATAACGATTGTTACCTGAGAGAGTTCTTGTGAGGAGAAAACAATGTAATACAGCAAGAGACTCTAGCACGTAGAAAACACTCAATGAACATTTGCTGATGAAAGAGCAAATGAATACAGTGCCACATAAATCTCAGCTGGCGTCATCCAAGGGCGGAAAGAAAGGAGCAGGCCTCTGTAATCAGGGTGACCGCACATTTCACCTGTCCCCAGGACAGCTCTGTTGTTATGGCAAAATTATCAGAAACAGCTTCTTTTATTCTCAAGAGTGCCCCAGTTTGAATAATAAATTATAGTCACTCTAGTCAAAAATCCCAGTGCATTCACCCTCTGGTACAGAAATCGGCGTGGACAGGATGCTGTGATGCGCCCAAATGGAAATGGGGCTCAGAATCAACAGAAGCTGCTATGAGTAAGGCATCTTGGTGGTCCTGGGTGAGGGGTGGGGCGGTTTGAAACTTAAGAAATCAGTGTTATTGTTGGATGCCCATAAAACTAGAAGCCGAAAACATATTTCTTTATTTCCTCTAATTGCCTACTACAAAATCCTACTGCCTATGAATACTCTCAAAATATTAACAATAATAAAGGTAAAAAAAAATACTGGCTGCTTTTTCGCCCTTGAGTCCAAGAACACATGGATTTCAAACTAAACCTGCTGATGAAAAATCAAGGGTATTTTTCTTGGCTAACAAATTCAAGTGGATAACCCCACCACAGTACATTAAGTATATTGTTTTGTCATGCCGATAAAGAGAAAAAAACAAGAGCCCTAAATATATTTATTATAATGATTTTGTTTTAAGCAATTTTCCGGCGCAATCCTGCTATTGCAATTTAGTTTCTGATTGGAAAAGCTTCGTCACCGGAGGAAAAGAAAGCTGGGTGCATAGGGCATAACGTAATCTACCAGGGAGGGAGCGCGGCTTCCTCCCAAAGGACACAGCTACAAAGAGCAACCTGTGTTGTTCGGTGCTGCCCCCGTGTGGCCACGGAGGTTTATAACCACTATCACTTTTCCTTTAACGGCAGACTTTCTGTACTAGTCAGCTTTGGGAATAAATACTCACTTCAGAGTACGAGAAGAGTTCAAAATACTTAATGCACCTGACTTTAAAAGTGCTTTTTCAGCTTTTGAATACAGATTAATACTTGCATTTTGACTGATGCTCATTCTCCAATAGCTCTTAACCAAACAGCAACAATGAGCAATGCTTCAGAGCGTGGACTCTATCATCATATGAATCTGGATTCAGCCATAACCTTGCTATTTACCTGAGGCTGATTCTGGGAAAGTCACTTTGGGTCTCTACGTCTCAGTTTCTTGATTTGTAAAATGGGAATGACAATAGTACCTCTACTTGAAAGTATTTACTGAGGACTAAATGAGATAATGTTGGTCAAGAGTTTAGCATGCTGCCTGGCTTACAGTAAGAACTCAATAAATGCTTATTACTACGGATACATTTTAACTCTTTTCTATGTGTGGATTCTACAGATTTCTCTGGTTTGACAGGTTCCAGCCACAGCTAGCACGGGGAGGGGAGGGAGGCGCTGCAGTTCCCAGTCTGTTGTGAGTACACCACCCAGAGGCTTTGCTGAGTGAGACACAGAGAACTGCGACCCTTCCCCACAGTGTCTGATTCAGTAGGTGACGGTAGTGCTCCAGAATCTGCATTTCTAACCAGCTCCCAAGTGATGCTGAAGCTGGGGGACTGGGGACCATGCTTTGAGAACCACCGATGTGGAGAGCTAGCCCCTCTCCTTACCCAAAGTCATACTGTGTCCATGGCTGGTTCTGAAAGGGGACTCTGGGTTCGAATCCCAGGACTGCCAACTTACTACCTGTGATCTTGGGTAAGTTTGTGAACCTCTCTGTGCCTCAGTTTCCTTTTCATAAAATGTCGATACTGAAAACACCTGCCTCACAACAGCCTGTCACATGTTGTGAGGATCAGCTGGGCTGAATGAGTTTGCTGCTGCTCCTGATGCTGCTGTTAGTTATTATGGGCTCTGAAGGGGACCAGGGTCCCGGCTGGATGAGAAGCGACACAGCCCCTAGCCAGAGGCTTCCTTCTCTCCATCTGTTTTCTCCTCCCCTGCACTGAAATCGAGTTGTCACATTTTGGCTGGAAACACAGATCCTGTTAGTAATTTCTATTTTGTTGAGTCCTACTTCAATGAAGACATCTGCCTGGAGTGAACCTCTTCCTAAAACATGTGTAGAAAAAAACACAGTGCACAGCCTTGGTTTCTATGGCTGGACCATCCTGGGTTCAAATCCCTATATATCCATCAGCAGGCGTTCAGCCTCCACAAATCTAAGCTGACTTGGTTAAAGAACGAGAATAACACTAGGCGATCCAAAGGAAATGAGGAAGTGGCTAGTACAGTATGGACTCTCAGCAAATGCTTACTTGCCTTCTCCACTCTCTGGCTCCAGGGGACTCTCATTGCATTCTGTTTTCCCACAGGCGTTTGGCTTTTCCTTCTCCAGAGCTTTAAGGGGGGCAAGCAAGATGAGGACACACTGGCAGAAAACTCAGGGGCCTGGTTCCTCAGCCATAAGGCGGGGCAGGGGGGAGAGACGAGGACGCTGGAGCTATGGGAGAGTAGGGCTTCAGCCTCGCCCTACGCAGTGCGCCAGGCTTGGCGCACAGCACTAGCGACAATGGTGCGTAAGTAAGCTCACATCCACCAAGCAGCGCACTCAAGGCCCGGAGCGGGGCCAGTTGCTCTAGGACTATTGAGGGGTGATGACAAAAAAGTAAACGATCTTAGAATCGACAGCAGCGTTAAATCATAGATATT